GGAAGGAAGGAAGGAAGGAGAGAAGGAGGGAGGGAAGGAGGAAGGAAGGAAGGAAAGAGGAGGAGGGAAGGAGGGAGGAAGGAAGGAGAGAAGGAGGGAGGGAGGGAGGAAGGAAGGAAGGAAGGAAGGAAGGAAAGAGAGGAGGAGGGAAGGAAGGAAGGAAGGAAGGAAGGAAGGAAGGAAGGAAGGAAGGAAGGAAGGAAGGAAGGAAGGAGCCCTCTCTAAGCGGTTTACAGAGTCAGCCTCTTGCCCCCAACAATCTGGGTCCTCTTTTTACCGACCTGGGAAGGACGGAAGGCTGAGTCAACCTGGAGCCATTCAGGATCAAACTCCTGGCAGTCAGCAGAGTCAGCCTGCCATGCTGCACTGTAACTATCACTGCCACTTAGACGGCTCCTGTCAGGGAGCCAAGCCAGGTCTTGCATTCAGGCAGGCTGTGTGGCACCTTTTTCCCCAACTCTGTTTGGACTGACTTACAGTTATGACGGTGGCAGGGTCCCAAAAAGGTCACGCGATCCCCTTTGGTGACCTTCTTGACCAGCAAAACCAATGGGGAAAATCCCCATTCGCTTAACAACCATGGGACTCACTTATCCACTTGCAGGCGATTCACTTAATGACAGTGGCAAAAAAAGGTCATAAAACGGGGGCAAAAACCCACTTTACAAATGTCTCACTTAGCCACAGAAATTTCGGACTCAATTGTGGTCATAAGCTGAGGACTCATGCACACACACACACACACACACAGAGCTCAATTTGCAGGAGCTGAGGACTCACTGAGGACTAGCCACTTGCACAGCCCAATTTCAAATAGGTCACGACCCGGCTGTACTGCAAACCCAGGAATTGGGGGTCCCCTGGTGTAGGTCATCTAACCATCGAAGTTAAATGTTAGATTAATGTTTTAATTAATTAATTAAGTTAAATGCAGAAGTGAAAGCAGCATCCTTTCTATTCAATAAAAAGTCAGATATTGCACAGGGTATATATGCCCTCAGCTGCTACCATATACAAATATAGCCCTTGATTTAGAACCATGCATTTCGCGACTGTTCAAACTTACAACAGCACAGAAAAAAAGTGGCTTTTTATACTTTTTATTTTTGACGTACAATAAATCCATTCCATTTCAATCGTGCATCGATTAGGTACATATTTTATGTGCTTAACCACTGCTAATAATACTCTTCTTATCAATGTAACCATATAACATTAATCACATTGCCATATAAGTAATATCCAATATATCTCTTTTGCAAACTTCTCTGATTGCTTTATAAGTACATCTGATCCATTTTAATTTGTTTTATTTTCTAACCCTTGATAAAACAAATCCCATACCATATAATATTCCGATTCTTCTTTTTCTTTAATTTCTAATGTTAACCTATTCATTTCTGCACATTCAAATATTTTTGTTCAATGACTTTTCCTTCTATCGGTATCTTTGTCGCTTTTCCAATTCTGAGCAAATACAATTCTAGCTGCTGTTAATACTTGCGGGATTAAGTATGTTTTTTCTTTACTGTAACCTGTTAATACATGTATGATGAAGTATGTTTTTTTCTTCACAGGTTCCATTCCTAATAAAAATATTTCGGGCTTCAAATCTATATGTTGTTTAATCATTTTTTCCATTTTAGTCCCGTATCTTTTAGCTTCTACACAAGGCCACCACATATGGTAGTATGTTCCCGGTGTCGGGAAAAAAGGGACTTATGACCATTTTTAAAATACTTGCAGCATCCCCCCTTCCTGGTCACGCGATCAAAAAATTCAGATGCTCGGCCACCGATTCGTGTTTACGACGGTTTTGCCGTGTCCTAGGGCTCCCATGATCCCCTTTGGCGACCTTCTGACAAGGCAAGTCGATGGGAAAAGGCAGATTTGCTTAACGTCCGTTTTCCTCACTGAACAACTGCAGTGATTCGTTTAACAACGAGGGCAAGAAAGGTTGTAAAACAGGGAAAAATCACTTGTGTCTCGCTTAGCAACGGAAATATTGGGCTCAATTTTGGGTAGGGGCGGGCTATTTCCCACGGGCTTCCCTGGAGATGTGGGGAGGGGGCGTTTTTTTTTTCCCCACCAGGGGAGGGGGAGGGAAGGATCAGGGAGCTCCGCGGCTCCCAGGGCGGCCTGACAGGTGAATGGAAGAGCGCGGCGGGCGGAGAAGATGTTCAGCTGGGCCCCGCCTCGCGCTCTTCTGGTTGCCATGGGCACCGGCCGCGAGGCGCCAAGCTGACAGCGCTGGGGATTTTTATGAATGGGTGACGTCACGGGCCTTGGCGTCTGAAGGTCTGAGCGGCTTTTTAAAGCGGGGAGGCGGCTGGCCGCTGTGGGAAACGACTATATATATATATATATATATATATCTAACTCGATGCAAGAGCCGAAGGATTTTCTTTGGAGGGGGGAGGGCAGGGGAACGTGAGTTGCATTTGGATCTGGTTGCATTTGGTTGGCGGGACGGGAGACCACGCAGCAACCCTTCTTGCGACCCCGCCCCGCCCGTGGCGTGGGAAGCTTTTCGCGTGGATTTTTTTTTTTTTCACATTCAAAGTAAATTTGGACGCCGATTCGATCGTTCTATGACAGTTCGGGCCGATTTTAACACACACATTCACACATAACGACACAACACGCAAATACACAGCCAATGATCCACAAGCCCAAAACGTACGGTAAAATACATACCGCACACAAAACACGAGAGTCAAAATGGTATACCCAACTAACACGGTAAATGACATGGAAACGCAAAGCGGTCAGTGACACAGAGACCAAACACGCAGGAAACGCAACAGTTCAAGTGACACACAGACCCAAAACACAGCAAACAACACAGAATATATCACACACAAAACACACAAATCAAATGACACACACGCACACGCACGCCCACGGAGAAAAAGAGGGCAACGCGCGTGTGAAGCTTAGAATTAGAATAGAATAGAGCTGGAAGGGACCTCAAGAGGTCTTCTAGTCCAGCCCCCTGCTCGAGTAGGAAAACCTATCCTATCCTATCCCATTAGGTCGCTGGAGCCAGGAAACCAAAAGGAGAATTGCCAGTTTATCAGCGCTGCATTCGGTGGCTCCGTTCACACGACAAGCCCAGGTACGACAGGCCAAGATTAGATGCTGGCTTGTCACCGTCCCGTGCCGCAGTTTTTTTTTTCCCAGATGGAGGGGAGGCGTTGGAAAGTGGGGGAGGGGCAAAGAAACACCCCCCTCCAGGATGCACCCCCCTCTCAACCTGCCGCCCTCCTGATGCCTCGCGGCCCAGATCCAGTCACACACACACACCACTGGCAGCCGGCGGAGTGGAAGTCATGGGTTTTGTAGTCTACCCTCAACTCTCCCTGCCAAAGCGAGAACATCCCGGCATCAAAGTGCGGAGCGAGGTGAAAAAAGGTGTTCCCCCCCCCCCAAGCAAAATTCCTCCGGAGCATCGCCTGGTTTGCATTCTTCAATGCGCGCCCCCCTTTCCCAGTACATTTGCCGGCGAAGCCAGGGAGGGGCAAAGCCTGGAGGTGCGGAAGAGGAGGCGAGAAAAGGAATGTTCAGACACGCGTTTGTTTCCGTCTCTGCGGGTCGCGGCGACGGGGAAGCGGAGGGAGAAGTGTCAAAGCTGTCCATCAACTCCTTTCAACCTTCTTCCCCCTCCCCCCCCCCCCCCCACTCGACGACATGTCCCGGGGCGGCCTCCACCTGCACCTGGCCCCGATCCCCTCCCCGCCCCCTCCCCGCCCTTCCGACGACCAGCAAAAGGGGTGAAAACCCGCGTTGGCAAAAGTCCCGCCGAGACGCGAATCCCATCAATGAAAGCGTGAGAGCGGGAAGCCGCGCCCCTCTCTCTCGTTCATTGGCTGCCCGGCAGCCGCGTGGCTCCGCCCACCACTCCTCCGAATGTTATAAAAGCCGCCTCTCCGCAGCCGGAGCGCCACTCGCGGCTGCGTTAGGGTAGAAGTTGGTTTTGTTCACGTTTGTGGCTGGTTTTGTCCTCGGAGTTGCGTCCGTTCGTGTCATGAAGGTGGTGCCCGCCGCCCCCGCCGTCTCCCCGGGCCCTAGCTGCCCTCTCAAGGGCGCGGGGGGAGACCCTTTGCCGCGGGGCCTCTCGGAGCAGAGCGTGACGCTGTCCCGCGTGGGCGGCAGCGGCAGCCCAACTTCCCGAGGATTGCCTCTCGGGCCGGACCAAGCGGCCGCCGCCGCCGCCGCCTCGCTGCTTCTGGACATGAAAGGCTGCTACTCGCGCCTGGCCGCCCTGGTGCCCACTTTGCCTCGCCACCGCCGCGTCTCCAAGGTGGAGATCCTCCAGCACGTGATCGACTACATTTGGGATCTCCAGCTCGAGCTGCAGGACCCGCTGGGCACCGGGGCGCCCCCTCCGCGGGGCGTGGACGAGCCGGCCGGAGGAGCCGAGGTGAGCCTTTCCCCGCCAGGGAAGATCCCAAACCAACCCCCGACCCCCCAGGAGGGAGGAGGAGGAAGAGGAGGAGGGGTCGCGCAACGGGGGCTCCGTGGGGGTTTCGTGCCCATTTGCCACCCGCGCCCAGATCGCGCAACGGGGGCTCCGTGGGGGTTTCGTGCCCATTTGCAACCCGCGACCAGATCGCGCAATGGGGGCTCCGTGGGGGTTTGTGCCCTTTGCCACCCGCGACCAGATCGCGCAGCAGGAGCTCCGTGGGGCTTGTGTCCGTCTGTCCCTACCCCCCCTCCTCCACGCCAAGATCGCGCAGCGTGGGGTTTGTGTCTGGCTGCCCACTTCCCACGCGCGCCTAACTTTCTCCCCAAAAGCGCTGCCAAGCTCCGGAGCGGCCTGGGCTTTCGCCAGTTCCGTGTTTCCCATTGCTGGCCTGGAGTCTCCAAGTATAAATTCACGACCCACAGGACAGGACTTTTGCTTGGAAGGGCGAGTTATCGGTGGGGCATTCTCACCGCCGTTGCCCAGAGCCATCCTTGCCAGCCTTGCCCGGGGATGCCAGCAACTGGTTGCCCAGCCCAGTTTTTGAAGCACGGGCAAGATTTTGTAGAACGTAGAAAGGGAAATGGGCTCAATTTTGATAGTTGCAAATCCAGCGGAATCTGCTGCCCCGTTTTGGCGGTGAGATCAGGCTTCTCTAACAAGACAAAAAACTTTGGAAACTTTTTGCTTTTCAGTAGAATTGGTGAGCCACAAAAGGCTCTTTTCGGATTCTTGGGGGGGGGGCAAAAAAATCACTTTTAGGATCTTAAGATTCAAAAGGATTTCTGCATAATTCACCAGGTGCCTTCTGAATTCCAAACCTGTTCAAGGCTATTGGTTGGGTTTCACTTCTTTGCAGTGTGATCAGATGGAGAAATGATTTTTAAAGAAAATCCTGATATTTTTATGCTTTTATATAAAATCTACTTTTTCTAGAACTCCGCTCTTTTGTAGAAAGTTTGCAGCTGTTCATCCATCTGTCCGTCCCCCCCATTATACACCCAGATTTGTTTACAGGTAGCCAATGTTCATTCAGTGGCCATTCAAAGTTACAACGGCACTGGAAAAAAAGAGACATGATCCATTTTTTTGACTGGTTACATGATCAAAATCCAGGTGCTTGGCAACTGACTCGTACTTACGACCGTTGCCATGTGGTTCCCCTTTTGCGAACGTCTGGCAAGCAAAATCCACAGCAAAGCCAGATTCACTTAATGACCTTGTGACTAACTTATTGAATGCAGTGATTCACTTAACAACTGTGGCCAGGAAGTTCGTAAAGTGGGGTGAAACTCACGTCTCCCTTAGCATCCAAAATACTGGGCTCCATTGTGGTCATAGGTTGAGGATTACCTGTATACAGTTCTCCATCTCCTACCCCGTTATAAATCAAGGTTTGTTTATTGGGTTTTTTAAATTTTTTTAATGCCGATATCAAAGATTCTTTTAATTATGCCAGTCCAAGGGCATCTGTGGTTGGATTCTTGGGCAAGTGGGCATTTTATTATATTCTTGTTTTTCTTTTTCTTTCCCTGTGGCTTTTCTGATTTTAAAGAGATTGCAAGAAAAGTTGCAAGAAAAGAAATCTCTAGAAGAAACATCTGCTTGTAGGGTATGTCAGCTTCTGAGTTTCACAACACTTCTAAACGGGCTGTTGACCTCCCTCTGGTGCCATCTGCAAGCTCATGTCGCCGTCCTTTCTCTTCCTCTTTTCGTTCTGACCCGGGCTTGTTCCCAAGATCACGAAGCTGAACTCCTCGTCCTGATAAAACCCCTTTTTATTTAGGTTCAAGGGAATTCCTCTCCAGCAAAGTCCCGGCCAACAGTCTTTCATGAGATTTCACAACCACAGACCTTGATCAGGCTGGGAGAGTTGCCAGGCCGATAGCTCCCAAACCCCACACTTGGCAAGAAGTCAGGCCCAGATCTTCACCCTAATGAATTGAACTAATTGTCTCCTGAAAAACCCACTTCCCTTTCGCTCCTCTTTTATTCCCTAGGAGAGGGGTTATTCACCGTCCACCTGAGCCTTTACTCCCGAGTCGACCCTTGTTCCTTAGCTGTTCCCTTCATCTGGCAGCTCTGTGCATGAGCACACTGGGAACAGGCTCCAGCTGTTCTTCTTCCCCACTGATCTCTGACTCCGAAGGCAGCTGATAACTGTCGGAGGGGCCTGGCCCCACCTCTGCCTCTTTTGAGCCACAACACTGTTGACCACCAAAACTACAATTATTTGACCCGCTGAACCTTTTTTTTTTTTGTTGGGGGGGGGGGGGGGGGGAGGAGATAAAGGGTGGATGGCAACACAACTGCTGATCTTTTGTCTTAACCGTTGCTTTTTTTTGGTTTTCTTTTTCAAACAGGCTGCTTGTGTTAGCTCGGATGACCGAATCCTGTGCCGCTGAAAGATCCTTTTTAAAGCCTGCCAGAAGATCTCTCGATCTGTGGGAAACGCTTCCTATCCCTCCAATGGCTGGGAAATTGTCTCTACCCCCATTTCCTTATCTCCCGAAATTTGAGCTGGACACGGCAGATAGAAGAAACTGTTTTTTTTTTTGGAGGTCAAGACAGGATGGGAGAACAAAATATATATTTTTGTCCATCCCTTTCTGGTGCTTTGAATTCCATGGCGGGGACCAACGGTTGAGAATTGGACTCAAAAAATCCTGCGTCTCTTTTAACGTCTTGATGGGACAGTGCCTTTTATTTCCCCTCCTTCTTTCTTTAAGAAAAAAAAACAAAAAGGAAAAAGCAGGGACTGAAACCTCACGCGAATATTTCTCAGTTGTCTTGAGAATCGACCGTATTGTATATTACAATGCTCCTATTTCTGAGAATATTTTTCTACCATAGTTTTGGATCTTGTTAAGGGCGCACAAATGCATATTGCTGTGAAAAAGGCTTGTTTTTGTTAAGTGTCTGTTTCATTTAGGCTGGGAGGAGGGCTTTTGGGGAGGGGGTTGGGGAGATGCCCCCCAGGCCCCGACTATGCTGGTTGGGGGAATCTTGGTTTGATGTCACAGCCTATATCAGAGGTCTCCAAACTTAGCAACTTTTAAGACTGGCGGACTTCAACTCAGCTCTGCTGGCTGGAGAATTCTGGGAGTTGAAGTCCACCAGTCTTAAAAGTTGCCAAGTTTGGAGACCTCTGGCCTATATGGATTTGGGGGTGGGGGTGGGGCATGGTGGAAGAGGCGGTTAGTCTAGAGGGCCAGAGTGGAAACCCCACCAATCGTAAGCCAAGAATGGCTGTCAATCACAGTTAGAGCAGTGTTTTCTTCAAGCTTTGGCTGCTTTGTGGACTACCAACTCCCAGAATCCCCCAGCCCAGCGTCGTTAAAAAAAAGTCCACACAAGTTTAAAAGGGACAGTGTGTTTTTGTGAACAGGTGAGTGGGAAAAAAAAAAGAAGGCTAAACTTTTTGTTTCCACCTAGGGCTGGGAATGAAAAAAAAGCCAGGATAGGTAGGTCTCCTGCCTTGAGGGGGGGGGGGTTGGACTAGATGACTCCCGAGGTCCCTTCCAGCCCTAGGTTTCTACAAACTTAGGATATATACCAGTCCGGTAAAAGGCTGAGAGAGAAACCTCTCTTTTGGTGATGGTACCTGAAGGATTAGTTGGCAGGAGAATCACAATTCTAGGGCTGAAGGCACCTTAGAGGTCTTCTAGTCCACCCCCTTGGCCAGTGCAGAGATTCTCTGTTCATCCCAGCTGCCCAATCACCAACAGATGCAGCCCCCTATAGCTTCGAAAGGCTGCCTTGTTCCACTGCTTTCAGCGTTGGGGAAATTCAGACCCACCAATGGTGCATCTAGTCCTTGAATTACAACAGTCCGTTTAGTGACCAAAGTGAAACAGCCCTAAAAAAGAAAAAAAAGTGATGAACAACCATTTTTTCACACTGACGGTCACGTGATCAAAATTCAGACAATGTTGGCGACTGATGAGTGTGTCGTCCCCCCCCAGGTCACGAGATCCCCCTTTGGTGGCGACCTGACCAAGCCCAGTCAATGGGGAAAGTCAGATCCACTTCACGACCTTGTGGCTAACTCAAAACTGCAATTCACTTAATGACTGGCAAGAAAAGTCATAAAACGGGCAAAACTCAACTTCACAACAGAAATTTGGGGGTTCCGTTGTGGTCTTAAGTCAAGAACTAACTGCACTGTAAAAGAGCTTCTTATCTGTCAGAAATTATGTGGGGGTCTCCTGCTTGGGCAGGGGGTTGGACTAGATGACCTCCAAGGTCCCTTCCCACTCGGATTGTCTGTTGTTATTACACTGTTCAACCTGCCGGCCAGGTAGACCCAATTCTAGGAGGTTTCTGGCTCAAGCGTGGAGCTTTTGGGGGGCGGGGTGGGTTCCTGAGCACAGCGCCCTGTGGAGTAGGCCGACTCAGCCTTGCTGGTCCGGTGTGAGTTTCTGCAGAAACTGGGTTAGAGTTGTGCTTGAAGGGTGCTGAGTAACTCTGCCGCTTGAGTGGGAAGGAACCAGTCCGCTGCCAGTCCCCTAGAGGTGGAGAAGACACGGCTGAGTAAATGGGTTGT